AGAGGCTCTTCCACTTATTTTGTCCATAAAATCTCAGGAACATGAAGGCACAAGACAGGGTCTCGACCCTTAAAGCAGTTACAGTCCAGAGTGTAGATGAGGCAGAGGCTCCTGAAAAGGTCCACAAACAGGAACAAGATGTGGGACTATGACTAACAGGCAAGTGATACCTCATCCTCAGGTGGTCCCTGTGCCAGGTCGGCCAGCCCATCAATGGTCAATCTGTCAGTCAACAAAGGTTACTCAACAGTCTCCTTGAGGAACCTAACACTGAGAATCAACAAACTCCAGAACCTCAAGATCCCCTGAAACCAAGCATGATTTACTGTCTGCAGGGGAAAAGTGCCTTTAAGGAAAGCACCACTGCTATGTGCCTGATGGAAGGACAGGGGCTTGGAAGCCTGGGCTGGGGAGTCCATCTCCTGGATTTCCCTGCCTCACCCAAGTTGACACGCTAGTCTCCTTTCACTCTCCCTCTCCTGTCACTGCTTTTGTACAATCTGTCAGCAGTGTCTGTTGTTTGTTTCTCTGATGTGGCACTGGCCTCCTTCCTCTTCTGCCTTGCCTTAGAGCCACAACCTCCTCCAATACTGTGGCCACCCCTGCTAGCTGAGGCTTCAAGCCTAGGCAGTCCTTATACTTCAGGTCTATCAAATGTGGCTCCCGAAAACCCAACTTTCAGTCAGTCATATCTCTGCACAACAATCAGCTCAATGGGGGCTCCTCTGGCACCATCAGGACCAAGTTATTAAGACCCTCTTCCATGAGGCCCTCCCCTCACTCATATAACTTTATTTCCCAGTACTCCCTAGTATATGCCCTTCACTCCAGTTACCTCCCTGTTTGTGCCTTTGCTCAAGTGGTGTATGACTTCTGGAATGCCTTTTCTCCTTTTGGCCACCTATTGAAGCCTACCCACTCCTTGCCACTTTATTCACAAAGACCAAGCTTAGGACTTAGGCAATGAGAAGGATGGCAAATACAAAGTTGGGGGCCTGTTTTCCCATTTCTTTTACTGTCTTGATGCTCTCCTACCACATCCTGACTCCACTGCATGGACATGTTTTTTGTAGCACCTACCCAGCTGCGAAGAATCCCCATAAGCTTGATTGCCCTGGACCATCTAGCTGCAGGTAGAAGGAGCTGGTCTGTCCTCAGCTGGGTAGACTATCTTGGTCTTACAAGCCAGAAAAGGAAAAAGCTGACACCACTAATGTTTACTCACTTGTTGCTTCTTAGGAAAGACTCTTAATCACTGCTGAGTTAATATACCAAGTGCTAGAATTTCTGAGAGATGGATGGTGGGTTTGCCAAACCACAGACTGCCAAGTTGGGTCTCTGGAATGAATCCAGTGTTCCATAAACCCTGCCTCTTTCCCAATCATAGAAAGAACCCAAAATCAAAGAAAAGTGGGGTAGAGTTTCAGGCATAGAAGTATCATCCTGTGCTTCCTGAAAAACAGAAAATGCAGTTGGAGACAAATCTCATCTCCCCCCTTCACCCTCTTATGTAGGGCACTGCATTGCTCGATGAGAAATCTGCACAGCAGGCCCTGGGGAGAGCTTTAGACAAGTCTCTGGAAAGGGGTGCAGTAAAGAGTAGGTGGTCCTCAGAGATTTTCTCACTCTTCTGCCAATTTGTATCTTGGAAGGTGACTTTCCAAAAATGGAAAGGAGAATGGCAAGGACCTCCTGTGCCTCTTGCTACCCTGAAGAAAAAAGGTTCACTGGTTGGAAGGGTTATCTCTTCTTCTATTTGAAGTGGCATGAAAGTGGCTAATCTCCACATTAGCCAGTGGATTGGGTAAAGCATTCTCTGCTTTGTACAACTTTACGTAGAGCTGGAGGAAAATGGGTGTGAAAGTAGTATTTTGAATGTCCCCATCTTCATTCCTTGAGCTGGAAGATGAAGAGGATAAGAAGAGGTAAATCAAAAATAACCTCCCCCCGAAACCAATAAGCACGCGCGCGCGCGCGCGCGCACACACACACACACACACACACACACACACACACACCAGAGAGAATGAGAGAGTGAAAAGGAGAAAATTCAAAACAAATCTGCTCAATTATATTAATGTAATAATAATGCCAACAATTGTTTTACACATGCCTACTGATTTACATTTTACAAAGCACCAAGGTACATTATTTAGCAGTATTCTTACAACAAATAATCCAATCAAATGATAATCAAAATAGTGGCTACCATTTACTGAATGATTACCAGGAACACTTTTCATGTGGTATTTTTAAAAATTTATTTATTTATTTTGAGAGAGTGTGTGTGCGCAGAGCCCTACATGAGGATCTATCTCATACACCAAACCATGAGATCATGACCTGAGCCAAAATCAATAGTCGGACGCTTAAGTGACTGAGCCACCCAGGTGCCCCTTCATGTGATATTTTATTTAATCCTCCTTGTGGTACTAAATGTCATCCCCATTTTGCAGAGGGGGAAACAGGCTTGGAGAGGTTAAATAGCTTGCCCAAAGGTAGAGAAGGGAATCTAGGTCTTTCTCATCCCAGAGTCCAGGCTCTTGACTTTAATAAGGTACCTCTCACAGGGATTTTTCACAAGTTCGAGAAGGGAAGGCCACTGAGGAGGAAGCAGCCCTTATCATCTCAACACAAGGAGACACACACATGAATACTCCAAGAAGTCCCACTTCCTCTGCTGTCCTCTGTTACAAACTCATCCAGCTTGCAGAGATACAGGTCCACAGATGAACGCCTCATTCCTTGTAGAGACAAAGGTCAACCCCTGTGGATAACATACCTGTCATTTAACCTGTATCTGAAGCTGCAGCAAGGGTTTCCACTTGACAGGATGCAGCGACAGCAAGGCAATGAATTAGCATCTAGTTTTGAAGCTTGTTCACGAAGAATACTTTAAGACTGAGAATAATGAGATGGAATGCCATTTAGCAGAATGGCTTGTGATATTCAAATAAATGTTCAACTTGGGAGATTCAAGCACACACAAAAAAAAGAAAAAGTGACCGTAGAAAACAGCAAGGTGCAAATGAATGGTGACAGCTCAGAGTTGGCTGTCCTCTTATTCATGGGACCCATCTGACCTCCATGGTAGGGTTTGCTGTTAGCAGTGCAGAGACCTGACACAATGCATACATCTGGGATACTCTGTGCTGGGTAGGCTTGGGGAAGAAGCAACAGGACCCTTAAGAATTTCTTTCCTCCCCTTACACTCAAGCACCATCTCTTCTGGAGTGTCTCCTCCCTCCTCTTCTCCCTCTTCTTTCTCTAAGCTTCCTTCTTCCCTTCAACATCAACGTGCACAAGAGATCTGAGGGTGGGGTGGGGAGAGCATGTTAATTCCTGGGATTTTGAGACAGTAAAGTGTCAAGGTCAGCACCCCCTACCCCTCAGCTTTCCAGATATACTTAGATACATACAAACACACTGAAACTTTAAAATGATGTAAGGAGATCCACAAGCCCCCCATGTGAAACAAAATCTTGGTGCTTCATTGCCACAGAAGCATAGAGGCAGCAGAAGGCTCATGTTTATTGGTTATATCCACATATGCCTACACAAAGGAGGTGGCCCTTGCACGCACACACACGCGCGCGCGCGCGCGCGCGCGCACACACACACACACACACACACACACACACACACACAGGAATCCTCATACACAGGCATCTTGGTAACGCGGCCTTTCCTCTTTGCCTGCCTCATCTCTTCCCCACCCAAAGGTGTTGACCACAGCTGCCCTGTGAAAGGCTGAGGGGTACCACGCAGTGGGAAGGGAATCACTCTGCCCTTGGCTACTCCCTGCTGTGAGGTGTGGGCAAGGCACTTAGCCTCTCTGGACTTCTGTAAAATGGAGATAATAACCACCTGGCTAGATGCTGTGAGGATGAAGGGGAATAATATATGTAGGGCCTTTGGCACAGCGCCTGGCCCTGTGCTGCCTGGTTCCTGAGCCTGCCTTTCCTACACCCACGCCTGGGCTCATAGTGCCTCCTGGCAGTTGGTCCCCACTCTCAGGATGCTGGTCTGATACAGGGAAGAGTGGGGACTAGTCTAGGACTTCGGGTGTGTAACAGGAGAGTCTCAGCTCACAGGTCGGCCGGTCAGGGTGGCTTTCAGGGCTCCAGGGGTGCCGCGAGCCACGGACAGGTGGGGAGGGTGATCAGGTCTCCGGTGCGCTGACCCGTGGGCGGCGGGGCGGAGCCGGCGGTGGAGGTGGGCAGAACCCAGCGGTAAGTCGACCCAAGGCTGTGGGTGGCTTCCTCCTGTTGCTCAGTATCAGGGAGAGGCGGGGGAGGACATTCATTTTTTCCAAAGTAAGCATCCACCCATTGCTTCGATAACTATCGATTGTGAAAAGCCGGCGGCGCCTCTTAATGGCGAAGCCCTGCTCCCGCGCGCCCCCGCGGCTGTGTTCCCGGACCCCCTCCGCCGGAACCCCCTCTGCCGATGCGGGACAGCGATGGGCAAACCCTTCTGCACCGCTAGTGCAGGCTCGGGAACTGCAGCCACTAGCTGTGGTCTGACTCCTGCCAGTCCACCCGCGGGTCCTTTCCTTTCCGGAGTCCCCTGTCGCGCCCTCGGACCGTGTCACCTGTTCCACAGCGTCCCTGGCGCCCCGGGTTCGAGGACGGGGTGGGCGCTCGGAAAGTTCTTTCAAAGGGCAGATGTGTTGCGACCCTCGCTGCAGCAAACTACGGGACGCAGATTTCCCGAACCTTTCCCCACCCCCACGCAGCCCGGGCGACCCGAGCCCGCAGAGGGACGCAGCTGCGCGGAGAGCCACCCGCAGAAGCACCTCTTCTTCCTCCCGCGCGCCCAAGTGCAGTGAGGGAGAAAGCCTCACAGCAAACTCATAGCGCGGAGCAATCCCCAGTCCTGGCCTGGAAGAGATCGGCCTCCCGTCCGGCAGCTCGGTGACATACTCACGATTTCCTGCCCCGGCCTCCCCTCCTCCCGGTCCCGGCCCTCCGGGTTGGGCTGCCGCGTCCCCTCGGTACCTGCGGCGGTCACGGGCTCGCCCTCGCTCTGCTCGCCGGAATCCGAATCCATGCTGCGAGCTGCCGGCCGGGCGTCCGCAGCCGCCCGCCCTCCCGTCTGCGGGACGCTCGGGGTCGGCGTCCGGGCTCCGGCTGCCGCGGCGCACTCGGTGCGGGCAGCCGGGCGGCGGCAGC